AAATTCAAACCTAATTACACTCAAACCAAATTACACTGCAAACTAGTCGTTATCAAATTCAAACCAATTTACAATATAAACCAATTTATGAATTTGGATTTACCAAAAACAAGTTGTTTGTTATTAATTAATTTTTTAATATGATTCTACGTTGAACTTGAGAAAAAAAAGTATTAAGGTATTGGAAGAATTAATTATATTGTGATTGATTAATGCCATGTAATCAAATAATATATTTTATTTTTGAATTAATAGGATAGATAATATTTAAATATTTCAATATAATCAATTTATTTTCTTATATTACATATCCTAAAGCTTATATAAAGATTGGTACATGTAACTCTATATCTCAACATAATAATAAAATTTTTTTTTCTAGTTCTCTCTTTTTGCTTCTTTAAAACTTACTATAAAGTATATTGTTTCTTTTTTTTCTCTCTCTCTCTCTCTTCTTTGAATTTTAGATTGAACGATAGGGAAGACAATCCCTTCGTCTACTTATATATTATAAAACTTGAATTAGGAACCTTTCACATCTAGCATAGAAAAGATTATCATTATTATCACTTACATAGTTGAAAAAGATACATAGTCTAAATATATATGGTTTTATTTTTCTAGTTTTTTGGTAATAACGTATAGAAATTTATTCTGATCCTAATTTATATTTATATACATACATAGATTTTCATAATTTTTTTTTTTTTTGGTATTTATGATAAGATATTTTTGAATCAATTTTTGTGTACTTTAAGATTAATTTAATCATTAATATAAACCCTAAAACTTAAATTTTAATTAAACTTATAAAATGATATTTACTCATAAATAAATCTAACCCTTAAAATTCACATTTTAATAATATTATAAGTGTTAAATCACTGAATTGGTCGCGGTAGTCCAAATTTGGTTTTAGAACAATAATTGGTGGGCCAAAAATTGAAAGTTGACGAATAAATTAAAATTAATTCGATCGTTTGATTACGGTGCGAGTGCTATAAAATGCAACAAGATTAAAAGACGGGAATTTTTGTGGATGCTTTTGAGTCACCTCTCATTTTCGTCTCGAAATGACGAGATTTTTTCTGTTTATATTTTTGGCTCACCCCTCTTTTTCATCCCGAAATGATCATATTTTTTCTGTGTATGCCTTTTAGTCACCTCTCATTTTCGTCCTGAAATAACATGGTACCATTTATGGACCTTATTGTCGGCCACCTTCCATGACCCATACTTGTCTGATGCAATAAAACGAAATTTTGCTAATATTGACCATCTCAATTCTCGGACTGGGTATGGTCCAGAGGTCCTTTGATGCCCGGAAGTGGGTTTTTTTTTTTCTCTTCTTCTTCTTTTTTAACAGGTTTGAAATGGGGGGATTAAGGAGTGGAACGGGTTAAGAGATGCACCTATCAAGGTAGTTAATGTAATTAGATCGAAAGATTACGTGCCTACGAAAATGGGTTTGAAGCTTGACAAAGCAGAAGTTTTCCTTATACGCTAGCTATGGTCCGTCCATGTCAACTTCAGTGCATCATAATCTTTTTTCTTTTTCTTTTTTTGGTACATAGCGCATCATAATCTTACCATATGCTGACAATTTAAGTATCAAAAATTATAATAAAAAATTAAATATTTTTAATAAATTATCATATGAGAAAATTTTATTAAAATTATTTGAA